AAAATAAATAAAAGACTTGTATCCAGTGGAGAGCACGGACTGAAATGTGCATGCAGGCAAATGGACACAGAAGCATGCATTAATTCATGGACACAGGCGCAGACCAAAGCACTCTGAATACTGTCAAACACACACATACTGTATGTACTGCTGGCTGATGCACATAGCATACATCTGTGCTCAGCTGAAGCAACAAATTAAGCACAAGTCCTGTTTGAACCCTTACACAATCCACTGCAAGTGAGGCTAGTAACGAAACAATAAAGAAAGACAGCAATGGCATTGATTCCCTTTATGCTGGAAAGGAAAAGCTTCTTTGTAATCTAAGCAGTGCTTTTCTAAGCTGTTCCACTAATGTGCTGGGAAGATAGTTAACATCCTCAGAGAGATCCCTGTGGTAGTGCTTGATAGTTAATGTAAATGCACCACCCAAGTATATGGATCAAAAAGCTTGGGGCAGAGTCTGTCCGAAACAAAATGGGGTTTAAATAATTCCAGTAAGAGTTTTAATTTTGAGTCTACTGAAATTCTTTTTTTTTGTTTAATAAACTCCAATGATACCTTGCCATCTGCTTCCGGCTGGCTACCTGAGGCTGACGCTGCGCGCCACTTTGAAATCATGGCGGGACAAAGAAAATAATTTTATCGCAACGAAAAACTAAGTCTCCTCAAAGCTTATGACAAACTGCCAAAAACAAGCCATTGAGATGCAGCAAAGAAACTCGGTGTTCCTCAGTGTAGTCTTCTCCGCATGAGAAATACAGACAAATAAAAAAATTCAGTCATAATAGTCATCCGCTTATAGTGATCACTGATCATTTATAATGTTCTGGTTATTTGCTTGCAAAAAACTACCAATAATCCAATTGGAGTACAAGTTTATATAAAGCTGCGGTAAGTTCACACACGTCTGCAGTCCTGACACACTTGACCTCTGTAAACTGGCAAAATGGATTCTGTTTTGCAATTTCCCTTTGCAGGACCAATAAATGCCACAACTACCATCCCTTTCCATTTTATTCCTGTCACCCCTCTATGATTTTTCCACTCCTGCGTTATCTTTCTTTTTCTCTCTGTCCTTGTCTTCTCTATGATGCTCATCCCTGAACTCCAGCCTGGCAGATGGGTGAGAACACAGCTCCCAGCATCAAGCTTAACCCAGCCACTGAGGGGTTAACTCAGTGCATCTAGTGCCTTGGCTGTCCTACCTTCAACATTGTCTGCATCTCTTTTTCTCTCTATTCTGTCCACTGGCGTCCTTTCAAGGGTCCTTGCTTGTCACAAGCAGCAGTGAATGTTTCTTTTTTTGTTTTTTATGAGATTGTGTACGTGCATCCAAATGTGTGTATGTGTGTGTCTGTGTTTGTAAATGCAGGTATAAGCTTCCAGGCAGTAGAGGCGGCTCTGATGTGAAGTGACATGCTGAGAGACCAAGTCTTTGGACACTGGCTGTGAGAAGGAAGAGAACCCCCCCCCCCCCCAAAAAGAGCCTTTACAAACAGCTACAACACAACTGGATGAGAGCAGCAGATGGCATGTCAACGCCCCAACCCCCTTTAATTACAATATCACTCAATCGTTCTTTAATCATGCATCACTTTTTATTTAAAAAAAAAAAAGAAAAGATACTCAGAGAATACGAGTACAGACACATTAATGCGGGAGTAGTGTTTTTGTTCAAGTTGAGCCTGGGAGAGGCTGGCTTGTCTCACAGAATGAGAAGGAATCTCTTCCTCTGACTATTTGCTACAGCCTTCATTGCCGGGATACGGCCAATTCACACTGCCTGCTTGTCTGCTTAGCTTAGCATTATACGTCCCTCTGTTACCTCACCTGACCCATTTCAATTCAGTTTTGCTGAGAGTGGTTGGACTGGAATACTGTGAAAAATAAGATTTAAAAAAAAAAAAGAATATCTGTAACCAACTAAAACCTTCCATGCCGGACAAAGAACCCTTCTCTGAGAGGGATTCAGTGTCTGGCTAGTGGACAACGCAGTATTGTACACACCATCAGATGAGTGCCTGAGCCCAGGGCTGTCTGGTGGAAGGACATTCTCCCTACTCTATCTACAGGCCCCCCGCTAACAAGACTCCTTCAGTGCGAATGCAGAAGTCGACACAGCAGCTTTATCCTAAGTCAATTTAACAACAACCGAAAAGATGATTAGTGTTTGTCCTTTATATAAAAACAAAACATTTTTTTGTACATTTCCCAGAAAGCAGAAGCCCGAAAATAAGGAAACAAAGCCATATGTAGGTAATTTAAGATATTTATGTATATTTGATCGGTAATACCAGAAGAAAAGATGAAATTGAAAACGGTAAAAGAGGATTTTGAATGAATTTACTGAAGAACAAATAAATGCAATAGTGTTAATAAGCATTTAGTTTGAAAAGATCTTGATCCCCAGGAACTATGTTTTTAATAATGTTTGTTTGCAATTAAAATGTACAAAAGTAGCTGCTGATGATACAGCATGTTATGGAATATTTCTACATGTTCAGCATACCTTTCAGGAGTGCTACTCGCAAAGTACTTGAGATGACGGGGGTAATTATAAAGGCCCCAACTGACGGCTTTTTGAGACAGATGTTGTGTTCGTGAGTCTTGAAGCAGGTCAGATACCCAAACTGACTGCAAAATGAGACAAGAGGTCTCTCCGCCACAGCCAAGGTTCTCTGCTCTGACAAGAGACCAGATGGCTGTTTGTGGAAACAACAAACCAGATCAGATAGAGGGAGAGTCAGAGGACGCTGCAAATTCTCCACTACAGCTCATCCTCCCACACAGATAGCCTTTTCATGTTGTCACTTGAACATGTTGTGATTGAAACAGAAGGAAAATGTAAAAGCATGTTTTTAAAAAACAAAACAACATTTTTTAAATCAACTTGCACCAGGGTTTTACAACGCACATGCACTGTGCAAGGGTGTGTGTGTTAGCACTATGCGTCAGTGACATTCTGTTCAACTGTGGCGAATTACAGAACGACTGGCTGAATTCAGTTATTCCCACGGCTACTGTGTGTGCGAGTGCAGTCGCATTAAAAAGACAAGTGTAACCAGGGCTAAATGTGTGTGAAGTGACTATTTCTGTTGAAACACTTGGAATAATAAACTATATTGCAGAGGCCAACGCATCATCTTCCTGTATCTTTAGAGTGGGTACGTATCAAAATTGTACTGTGATCAAACTCAAAACTGTAAACAGTTGTTTTCTTCTCTTTGTGTAGCTAAAGTACGTGCTTCTCACAAGGCAGACTTGGCTTTTATTGTGAAAGGTAAGCAGCATACTAAATGATTAGATGCTGAGCTGCAAATGAAAGCGAGAATAACGACTCTTCTGTCACATGTCTGAAACAATGACTTTACTTTCTGTAACCTTCCAGCCTGTAGCACATTCTAAAGGGATGGAGTAAGGCCAAAAAACATCCATTCCCCCTGATCAATACTCGCATAACAGAAAGACTAGGATGAATTGACTATCTCATAAAAAGGAGATTGAGTTGGAGAATTAAAAAAAAAAAAAAAAAACTTTTTACATTGGTGTTTATAGGGAAAAAGCCTTTCTTTCTTTGTCATCTCAAAATGTCCAAGTTTAAGCCAATAAATGCGGAAATGGCAGTATTTCTTTCGAAGCGATCAAACAGTAGAATTCTTGAGGGGATATATTACTTGTACATATAAAATAGACCCTTATTTTGAATGTCCGTTGTCAGCTCCTCCAAGCCCAAACAATTCCTTGCAGAGTATTACATACATTACATACCGATATCTCATGAGTATAAACATAAACAAACAAGCATGGATGCAGACACAGTAGCCCTCTTCTAAAACATCAATACTGTCAGGGAAAAGCAGCTGTTTTTCCTCAAGCAAGAATTCATATTCCTGCATTCATTCGGAATGGAATCCAGCAAGTATACAACATAATGAATGATGCACATTGTCCCTCTCTGTGTGTTATTTCAAAGGCACCACATTATTTAACCCCACCCACCCTTGTTAGAGCATGCCGTGAAGGATATTTGACTAGAATAGCAGAAAAGTCAGAAACGTATGCATTGAAAATAAATGAGCAATTTTTACTGACAGTGTTTCTATTTTGCAAATAACATCTTGGCATCTAAAATGTATCATAACTTTTGTAACTTATTCTTATAGTGCATTGCTTTCTTGACATTGGTTCTTCAGTTATTGTATCTGTAGAAAATGGAGCAGAATATAAGATATGAATGTAATATATTTGAATAATTTTATTGTATAACATCCTAATTGCAAGTCCACACTCTTAATAATGACAGAAGTGGCTACAAAACTAAGACGATCAGTCATCACACATGTGGAATAGTAACACAATTGGACCATAAGGTACGTACCATAAGATTACCATAAGGATTACCATAAGGAAAGATAGTCAAGACAAGTCATATCAAAACTTTAACTTGTGCACAAAACTGGAAAGGGGATGTATTGTAAGAACAATACATCCCACAGGGTAGTGATATATGCAGTAGGTAGCCATAATGGATTTAACTTGAAGAAGTGTGAACTAAAAGTGGATAAAACATCAAGAGTCATGTCAATCAACAGTGATTGTTTACAGATCAGACTTGGAAGAGGAATGGCAATTTTGAGAGAGTCAGAGAGACATCGACTTTACTTCATAACGTGTTTAGAGTCACTGGCATGCATGTGTTAAGCCTGATTATAATAATAATAATAATAATGCCTCTCATATTTCTGTGAATAAAATTTCAGCATATCATCACATTACGGTGATGCTGCCTGCATGCTCCTGCCTCCATCAGATTAAATATATCATGCCCGACATGAATGTTGTGTCACGCAGCACCCACAGATCAAGAAATCATTTCTACCACACAAGCAATGTGCCACTGGCAAAGAACGAGTATTGAAGAATGATTTTTTTTAATTTTTAAATACATTTTTTTGAAGAAGCTGCTTGTTAGAAACAAGTATAGATTATTTTCTTACCAGAGACAGTCCTGACAATCTCAGAGGTGTTCCTCAGGCCCACGAAGGAGAACTGGTAGAGCCTCCAGGAGCGAATGTCCCCGACCTCAACTGAGCTTCTTTTCCACTTGTAAATAATCTCCTCCCTGGGGTAGCCATCTGAACAGGGAAGAACACAGTTACATTGAGCTTTGTCACAGGGAGAGGAGAGGAGAGAAGCTTGGTGCAGAAATGACACAACATTAATTTCTTTAAGGAGATATCTTAAGACTTGACTCCTTAGATAAGCGCTCTGCATTATAAAAACAACGTGTTTGAAAACTGTTCAATATAAAACAAAGACAGAGACGCAGTCTGTTCTATTTTAGAGTGATCCATGCAGACAAAGTCAGTAAGCTCGGAGGGGAACTGTTTCATGAAAGAATCATCAAATAACAGACTCCTGACAAAATATGCAGTCCATCTGTGGAGTGAAAACTTGAAAGCTGAAACACTCAAAATTGATCCACGTCTGTCTATGACTTGGATTCCAGTAATGTTATTACATCAAGAGGATGCTCTCTGGTTGTGAGAATTACAATAACAATCTTACTCATGCTATTTCACTTAGACGTTGCAGAGCATTAACATAATCAAATGATATTTGTTAGTATTGAATTCATGTCTGGTATCCAAATTTCGATTAAAAACTTCTTTAAACTAATAGTACGTTACATTTCGGAACTGCAACTCCTTATCCTGCGAAGGTTGTCGTCAGTCTAGATATGAGCTGTGTGCAGCCGACAACGGAGCGGCTTGAATAATGCACATGAAGCTTCCTCAGTTCGAACTTTAAACGGCTTTATTACTAAAGTGCTCTCAGGCATCCAGTAATGCTGAACCTCGGAGGAGAAGGGGAATGGAAGAATCTGCCCATTTGACACATTACAGCCAGGCAGGCGGGCAGTCTGCTCCTTCGCCGGCAATGCATCCAGGACAAATTATTGATTCAGTGTCCTTTTGGGAAGCTAGAACAACAATGCTCCGTGAGCTCAATGTTGTGAATTCACTTTGAGCAAACTTAAATGATAATGGTGCATCATCTGTATCTGTACAGCATTCTCCTAAACCGCTGCAAAAGAGGTTCAGGAAACTGGTAAATCTACAATGCTTTGTGGCACGTGTTGAGAAAATATGCCCGCGTGATACATTGCTGCACACTGCTCAGTGCTCCGCCTGCTGCCTCTGAGATTGAGCTCATGCACTGTACATCAAGCGATTTTCAAAGTTCTGAAAACATCCACGGCTTTCATCAAATTTAAATGAACGCTTCTGTTCCATTTTTAGGCCCGCTACCCCTCCGCTTTCTCTTTCTTGTTGCTCTGGAGCTATTTAGGAAGCATTCTCTCTGGAGAATATCCCATGGTGCATCTCTCTGTAGATCCATAGCGGCCTCATTAGCATAACATACGCTCATCATTCGGAGGGACTGACTCATTTGGATTTGTGTCACTTTTTGAAATGTCTTTTAGAGCAGTATTGACAAAGTGCAGGAAAAAATCAATCAGTACTCAGCCTGTTGGCAATACGACATCTATTATTAAATCCCCTTAATGAAGAATGCCTATGTACTGTATGTATATACTATAAATGAATGAATGAATAGTTTAACAAACGTTTTTCTTCAAATATGTCCTGTCGTAACACATAACTACATATAGTTATATTTTCCTCATTTATTAAAGAACTCTTTGAAGACGAAGAAAGCATTTTAGCTGGCAGAGAGTGCAAGATATACTGTAGCTAGTGTACATGCATGCATATATATGTTAAACCTAAATACACATGTGACTCGTCTTACTGGAGATTGGAGAGGTCTGAAGGAAATCCTAAACCTGTTGCATAATGATTCCTTTAATGATGTCTTCGTTGGGCTCATATGTTGGTCGTTCATGGGCACAGCATGTGCGTGTTTGAGATGAAACAGAGGAAGAGGTAAAACAGTAGGGGCTCAGCATATGGACAAACTTACAGCTTGAAAACTCCAGGGGACACGAGTGCTCATCCATCGGGAAGTTGTTCAGTTTAAGCTGGCACTCGGCATCGATGGTCAACCTGCAGATACACAATATTTCGATCATATACATATTTATTGTATTCATTTATTTATTACAGTCTGAATTACACCCCTATCCTTATCAATATTAACACAAGGAATTATGAATTAGAATTTCACCAAACTAAATTGATGGTTTTCACAGCAACACACACACACACGTCTCTTCGTTTTCACACTTGAGGGAGTTTGAAGGTAGTCATTAAACTTCCCCTTAATGAGAGAATGACCTTAAATGACTTTACCCATCCATGCACCCGCTATTGTCATGTATCATTGTCCTCCCAATCACTGCGGTCATCCTAATTAACCAGTGGTTAAATTCAGAGTTCCTTAACAAATTAATGAAGTGGAGGGATAGTGTTCTGCACAGCAGAACATCCATCACGGCTTGATTGACTCCAGAAAGGTTCACTTTCTCCCTTATTATCACTGATGACATATTGTGGTGTCAGCATAAACGTCCGCTGTATTTATGATGGCGTGCAAAACATGATAATAAGCACAATTAATATATCCCCTTCAATCTATCCTCCTGTTTCACATGTTTGTTGTTGGCTTCATGAGTTTTACACTCATAACCAGTGTGCAGTCAGTTTAATATTGAGCAACCAATAACATTGAACACTGTGTAGTACTTCCAACCCACCAGAGGAGTCATTTCCTATCTACTATATGTGTCCAATCAATTGCTCTGCAGGCAACATTGGGCTGTATTTAGCAATATATTAATGTTTTCTTTAGAAACTTCCCAAACATTTCTGAAACACAAACTACTGAAAAAAATATATAACAGGAACATGAAAAATGTTCAAACCATATGCTGTGTAAGAGTGCCTAAAAACATAAGTTTAGGGAGATGTAGTTACAGTGTTCCCTTGCCACTAACAACTTCCTGCATATTTCAGTAGGGCAGATTTCACTTTCGCTGATAAATGTCACATTTAAAATGCTGAAATTTAAAATTGCCCAAGGCCTGTTCAGGATAATCAGTACAATGAATCAGTGTAGTGTAGAGAGGCCGTCAATTGTTGGGTACTTCAGTATACTTTCTAAAGTACACACAGTGATTATGGTGGATCCCAGGAAGAGATGGAAGCACCTTGGTGGCAACAAATTGATAATAATCCAAATAAAAAATGAAATGCTGCACAGTTATCGTTCATTCTTAGTCCAGTTTAGGTGCTCAAATTGTTGAATCGAGGCTAATTACCATGCATTTTCACTGTTATCTATTGTTTCCTAATTTATTCAACCGAGAGCACTAGAACTAATTGTTTCTGTAAATAGATTTTGAACTCCCAATTATCTTTCCAACATAGGAGAAAAAAATGCTCTTTTACACTAAATCTAAAAATAGAAGCACTTTTTAATCTTTTGGTTTAGAGAAAATAGCATTAAATGTATCCAAAATGGTATGGATAATGATAACTGATAATTTAAGCTTTCAATGGGATAAAATGGTAATAAGTGGTAAATTAAATAATTCTGTGACACAATCAATCCAACTGTTAGAACTGATTTGAGTATTGTTCATTGCTCATCTCAGACATTCCTGAAATTTTACCTGAGGGTGTAGAGTATCCGACCGTCATTCCAGATACGAAGCATGCGATTGGGTGTGGTGATCCAGTGGGCGTCGGCCTTCTTCGAGTTGCGGAAAAAAGTGTCTGGGATCCAGATCTTCCCAACCATGTTGCTGTTAAGACGTAGAACCTTCATCGAGCTGTTGAATTTTAACCTCCTGTCGTACCAGGTCTGAGCAAAAAAGATGTCGATGGTGTATTCCTGAAGACAGATAAAACAAGGTTTTGTTACCCAAATTGTTACGTTCAACTTTGAGTTTAAAAGCTGAACGTGCTTTATATAACACACCAGATAAAAGTCTGTGTCAGGAAAACCTTGCAAACGGTATTGTTTACAACCAATGCTGTCACCAATGCCTGGCTTTTAACTGTGATAAACAACCAAATCAAATCGAATTGTGGGCTACAAAAGCACTGGTTCTTCTGTCTGAGGGGAACTTTTCTGTGGTAGTCAAACACTTAATGCTGGAACACATTTGCAGGCACTTTTTTCCACAGACAAGAGGGTTTCTATTCAGGCCAAGAAGTCCTTTTGTCCCTCCTAAAGAGCTCTGTTGAAAAAGACCATCTTGAAGCCCTCAACCTGAAAATTAAATGTTCAACGGGGCAATTAATAATTCCCCTTGTTTGGCTCAAGTATTATCTAACCTCATAACCTGCTGCCTTGGCAGCACTTTGTCCTGAGCCTGACAAAACCATCTGTCTCCTATTCAGTCCTTGTAAGAGCTGTGTTAGAATATACGTATGAGGGATGAAAAGCGGCATGGGGAGAGTTGAAAAGCTAAGGTGAGAGGGAAAGGAGACACGGTGAGTGAGAGGGCTCTATCGTGTCTTTCATATGTATTTTGTTATTTGGAATGGTTGAGCCCTGACGTTCAAAGTGAAGTACAGCTGGAGAGAGAGAAAACATCTGGGGATTTGTGTGCAAGAGGGCATAGAGGCATTAACTTCCGGACAAAGCTTAGCCCGACAATAAAGTCTAAATCCATGCCACAGAGTCCTAAACGAGATTAGAAAAATAACATTTTCACCAGGCGACGTTACTATCCTTTCAACATCCTTTTTTCCCCACCAAGGACAGCCAGAGAGTTCAAATCCAATGATGAGAGACAGATTGAATGCCTTAGGATCTGTGCCCTGCTTAGTGTAATGAACATCTATTTATTTTAATTTTTTTCTGCTATTGTACATGAGTTACAAATTTGCCATCTTTCAAAGCTTCGTCCTGCATAATTAAGACTTAAAAATTGTGTTCGTGCTTGTGTGCTCTTCAGAAAATCTACCTACCACATGTGTCATGTCATAGTGTGACCGCACTGCCCAAACCACAATAATTACATATGAATGTGAAGCGATCAGTTACGGTTCCATGTCGGCGAGATGCCCTCGTCACACAAACGCAGACTCCCTTATGCGAGCGCAAACACACATTTTCTAACTGATACCATCAATGCTTTTCTTTCAACTTCAGTGTGACTGCAGTTATTGAGAGTGGGTGTTTTAACTAAGACTAAGTGAAACGGAACGCCACCACCATGTAGAGCAGACTGCTCTGCAGAATAACAATAGAAGTGGGTTCTCAGCGGGGACGTGCTACAGAAAACAATGACACATAAAGCAGCGCTGATGTGAGATTTGCTTATCCTTCTTTCTATCCAACAAACATTTGTGTTTTCCTCTCCACCATCAGATGAACTGTTCTCTTTGTCGTCACTGCAGCAGGACAGCTATATATTCTATTACTATTCCTCAGTTTTCATTTTTCGAATTCATTAGTTACTGTGCATTGTTACATCACCACCAATGGAAATCAAAGAAAAAACATGGAGTACAATCTGTCGATCTGAAACCGAGAGCTGAAATTCAGTTCCAACTCGTTAAATTGTTATTTTTATTAATAGGGCCGCACTGATACATATCAGTTTTGGAAGCTGGTACTGTACAAAAAAGCAGCGCTCCCACTCATATTGGCTGAAACTGTTGTGCATCGCTGTAAGAGTAATAAAACAAATGCTACACGGACGTGGCTTTGTGAACATAAAAAGCTTCTTGCATCTTAAAGTAATACAGCGTTTTAAAAAAAAACATGATTGCATTCTGTTTATTCTATTGCTACCTTAACATTTGTACTCTATACACTAGCAGAAGAATAATGAGAGAAACTATTATTGGACCAATACTGATTTACAAAATGGAAAGCAATATAATAATGCATGTACCTGATAATAGCAAGGTTAACCTCTACCTCACCAGAATGTAAGGTTATACATTTGTCGATAACTGAACTACTTTTAAAAGAAAAAAGGTTTTTATATGCAACCTTTTATTAAAGAAATGTTTATCAAAAACAAACAGCATTGCGGTTGGTGAACACAATTACATTTAGCACAACCAGTACACAATTTGAATGTGTCACTTTCACCATTAAAACAGATAGACATGATCAAAAGTCAAAAGTCAAAAAAAAACAAAAAGCCTCATCTTCAAACCAGATCTAAGGAAAATCAGAAGCTGGTATATTGATTTGAATACACTAAGAGCTTGAACAGGTGACACCTCGGTTTGTCGCTGATGTAATTCTTGGCAACCACAAAGTGCGAGCATCTTAGGATTTGCCAACTCGCACAGCCATTCGCAAATATGCTGCTTTGAAATCTGGCTTGTGTGTTGAGCAACACAATTGGTCAACTGTTTATCAGTATTTCTAATTTGAAAAAGAAAAGAAGATGTTTAATGCAACGCAGGTGCAAAGGCCAGTGCAGTAGTTAAGTAGCTGATTGACACCTGCATTGTGTTGCTACACTACAAGGGCAGAAGGGCAGCATAGTCATTAGATGGACCAACCAATCCACCGTGACAGCAAGCATCTGCTCTGCTGAAGTGTGCTTGAGCAAGACGGTGAAACCCCGCTAGCTCCAGAGAGCTACCCTCGACATCATTATGCGCTCAGCTCCCCGAGGATGGAGGTAGGCCGAAGACATTTTTTAAATAAATATCCTCCATTAGTTACACATGCAGTTTATGCCTGATTATTGATAAAAAACATTGCCATATTAACACTATATTCCAGTATTACTCACCATATTGATGGCATTTACTGGCCCGATGCTGTTGACAAACATGTCTGTGTGGATCACTGTTGGTTTCACTGAAAAGAAGCACAAGAAAGTCAGTTTTATAGATGAGCAACTATTTATAGATGAGCAACTATTTCTCATGCACATGCACACACAAGTTTTAGGAAGTTTCTTTTTTTTTAGTTTTGTCTTCATCTTCATCGTCAATGAAGAAACAAGGGAAATAATCTCCTTGTTGTTAAAGTGTGAATACGAAGCAGCTGGACAGCATCACTGCTCAGCTGGCTTTCAGTGGGATGTCGTGTTAAGTTCCATTTGATACACACCTGATTGACAGATGCAAATGATGAAATCATGAGAAAGTTTTGAAAGATTGCACACTGTCTGCACCAAGTTCAGTGAAAATGCAACATTTCCTCATCCACAATACGAAACAACAGCTTTATACTGAAGCCACTAAAATCAATCAAAGACAATGGAAAAATGCAATTAGAAATTCAAAAAACTAGATGTGCAATGCAGAAAAACGGATTTTTATCAAAATAGAGCCAATAGAGGAAATGAAAAAAACACTATATATGACTTTCATTATATAATATTACACAAACATATCAATCTAATATTTCAAGCAAAAACATTCAAGCAAATAGTCTCATGTTTTATAACATATCAGGCCAATATGTACACACAATGAAGACAGGTGTAGAAAACAAGCTTCACATTAAATCACCTAAATGAAATGATCCCACTTTACTTTCATGACACTGTATTACGTTATCAGGATTTTACCAGGTGTAAGATGCATCAGATAGCGCTAATGAAATAGAAAACCTTGCGCCTTTGTCTGCAAGGAGACGACATCAGAGCCTACAGGGACAATTTCATCTTCAAACAGGCCTCCTGACAATGTCAGAAAACCACATGCACTGTCTGTATTTACTGCCAAACTCCCATCCCATTTACCACAATACCTTTGTGCCCTCTGCAACATCCCATCCATCCCTTTCCTACCCTTCTATGCTTCAGGCCTGTGGGCTGCTCTTGATAGCCAATCAATTACTGTCTTTTCTCACAGACCTGCTGATGCCGGGCGCTCCCACAGTGACGGGCTTTTCTGTTAGAAGTGCCTCGTAAATATCGTGACTTGAAAGGTTTGAGGAAGCACTACAATTCTGAGCCCAATGGAGACGACAAAAAAGCAGAAGTTAAATTGTAATCTATTTAATGTTAAACACAAGCACTAAACTCACAGCTAGACCTTGAAGACTGGGTGCTGGATCCTAAATGGAGATGATAAAAAGGGGAAGACAAGGACAGCACCCCAAATTGACTTTTTCTAATATTGCCAGACGGATGTCAGAAGGGTGTCTTGCCTGAAGTGCCCATGTGGCAATATCAAAAAAAAGGAAAATTGGAGTGCTGTCCTACTCCTTCCTTTGTTAAACTATTGAACGTTGCAATCTTCATGTATAAATCAAATATCTTAGTTTGAACACTTGCATGTGTACATGCATTACACCTTGGTGTCTGCTGCCTACACTTAGTGAGATGGGCAGACGTCAGAAACAGTTTGGCTCAGGAAACTTGAAAGCTTGGTGTCAAACAAGACACCCATGCTCTGTCAGACCCTCCAAGTCATCCTGGATCACTACACTTGCGTGCACTTCACTACAATGCGTATCTTTATGGATGGCTGGACGGTGCCTGAGAAGAGAGTCTGGGTTAAGATATGGGAGCAGGAGTGAGTGTAAGAGATAGTTACATAGAGGGGGTTACACAGGCACACATGCATGTGCATTGCACCCCCACACCTTTGCACACATATCTTTGAACAAACTCATGCGCGCACACACACACACACAATACACTATTGTTGACTTCCACTACCGGCTACGACTACAAGTGCACATTACTGTTTGCATAATCTGAATGCAGAAATATGTAACCCTCGACTGGATTATTGGTAAAAACAAAATCCATATAAATGTACATTCATGGCGTGAATAAATTATTAACAAATAAAAACAAGGTGTATTATTTTATATAGCAAACTGGAAAGTGGATGTTTTTCATATATGCACAAACAGATGCCAAGGAAAAAATATTCCAAGTTGCCAGAGAACATTAAGTGGATGTGCTGAGATTTCTAACTTGCTGTCTGAGATGACATAATGCATGCAACACAGCCACCACAGGCATCCTAGTGAACGGCTGATCAAATTAGCTCAAAGAATGACCAAATACAGCTCCATGCATGAGCAATGATCTAGACCTATTAATTAAACTCACTGTACAACTTCATGTCCTCTCCATTGCTCTCTAAATATGTAAATTATATGAAGCAATGTATTTATTTTCTAAAAGACAATGACTTTCCATCACTATCCATCCATGGATGTATTATGATTTAAGGATTTTCTCTCTCTCTCTCGATGTCTCTGTCCTATTTGCTTCACTTTTCATATGTACAGTAGACTCCAGGGGCATTAAAATTAAATGAGCATCACAATGGACTTCAAAGGGAGGCTGTGGCACATTCAGCAATGAATCTAAATCCAGAGCATTTCAGCGCTTTGAGGAATGGAGGAGAATCTTTGCTTTGCCTTGGTATGGTTGGTTGGTTGGTTGATTGGTTGGTGGAGCAGATGACAGTATAGCCAGCTAATTATAACCCCTCGGTAGCTGTGTAACTTGGCAGCAGCTGGAATACCACCAGTGAGCAAGATCATAGTGCGTTTGAAGATGATGGTTAAGACGGTGGCAGCCAGCCGCAGTGGCTCTCTGGGCTGATGCTGCACCTCAAAGCAGATCTGAGCTGCTCTTCAATTTAAAGCACAAGCCCACTTCTGAAGTCTTTTTAGAATAAAGATGCTGCACTTCATCATGAAATGTGTCACATTATATGCCGCATACATTTTGTACAGTATATGGGAAAACCATGAAAGCAGTGTAACAGACTTACTGTATACGTCCATGTTACTCTGCCGCTTTCATCTTGTGCCATCATTTGAACAATTCATTAGTCACACTTTAAAGCTGCATCAGGTCAATTCTTGGCAGCGGCACCTCAAATAATTTGCAATGTTTGTGGTGGGGAAGCCAGTGAGGGATTGTACTCTTTTTGTCGCACTAGAGAAGCCTACCGGTGCTCCTTCAAGGTAGGGGTTTAAACCTGGGTAGAACCTCTCAGTGGCAGGTGTGAAGAAGCAGCTGATGAGGTAGCACATACAGTATATTCCCTCCTTAGGTCAACAGTGGGGGGAGCACTGGCAAAGACCACAGCACATTTCCAATTGGGAGAAAACAGGACAAAAAAAATCCTTAGTGTTAAAAAAAATGAGGCAAGTTTGGAGCACCTTAGCAGCTGAGGGGTTACACCACATGCAATGTAACAGCAACGTCCTGCAAGGGCATTTATTCAAATCTATTCTTACCAGTTGCTCCTTTAATACAGCACCAACCGGTGTCCCTACAGTAGATGGCGAAGCAATTCACTGCTAGTATATAAAGTGGTATGTCTTTATTGTTCTGTAAGAGTACGTGACAGGTTCCAACTTAAACCAGTTTCCCAGGAATACTGACCCATGAATCATCAAGTATTCAAGGGCACTGAATAGCTATATATTCTGCTCTTGCAGATGGACGTGACAGGCTTTAGGATATACATGCACTTGTGCAGACAATGGAGCCCTGCCCAGCTGTCTGTCAAAGTGTAGGAAGTAAGCTACTTGTCTCTTTCTCACATCGACAAGACAAGGCTTGCTACCCCGACCGTAATGTGTGCAAGTACATTGTCAGAGGTAGACATTATTTATAGTCAGCCCGGATGCCCGTCAACACACAACACAAACACACACATAGAACACACAAGGACACCTTGTACTACCGAGCATGGTGTAACAATGAACTCTATGCTGTGCATATTCAATCCTCCATGTTCAATTTATACAGCCAGTGAATAGACCATCCAGTGCAGTGCAATTAAAAAGTCATTATTTCCTATTGTTTTCCAATCTGCAGCAGATATATTCACAGGGTATCAGTTGGCATGACTAACATTATTACTAGCAACCACTAGAGGTGAGGCAAGTCACAGGTAGGTCACAAGACTTAGTTACGAAGTCCCACGTCGAGTCCAAGTCCTAACTATTTTGTTTCGAGTCTTCAACAAGTCATGAGTCGATTTCAATTTAATGCCATTTATAATTCAAAACAGAGTCATAGTAGAGTAGACTTAAAGAAATAATGAATGCTTTTCAAAGTGTGTATTTACTAGTGTCAAATAAACATTGCAGAGCCATCTGAGTTGTTGTGCCTTGGCATGTTATTCCTGTGAAGAGGGTTGGTGTTTGATAGCATTTTATCGGGTCTAAATCCAGTTGCTGATTCAGACAATCAGCCAAGTTTAATTTAGTCTTTTTAAACAGTAACTCACTGCAGTATTGTTAACTAGATACCTACAGGTGATATAATCCGCCAATAGTGATGTTTTTTTTAAACTGGCTAAAGCAGCAGTCAACACAGGCTAAAAGTGAGAAGCCATCGAAATGCACCTTTCCCTCATGTTTGTTCAATTTGACTGGCTGCTGCCGGATTAATTCAAAAATGTATCTGTTGTCAGGATATCAAGTAATTCCAGGCCATCAGGGTAGAGGCCAAGCAAAGTAACGCGTCCCAGGTGTTCACAGCTCCTTATAGGCTGATTTTTTTCATTTCAGAAGAAATTGTGCATCCATCCTTGATAATGCTAGCTCATGTCGCACCACTGAGCTAGCTGGCGTTACAGCTCAGCAGAGGAGGATGCCATAAATGTTTACCTCTTGCACCGTCACGCACATGAGCCTTGTTCAAGTGTAGATGCGCTCTTTACTTCTTTGCGTTGATACGGTTGTGAGGTTTAGGTTGTTTGAGAGAAAACATCAGCCAATGTCTCCAACACTTAGCAACTCACACAAAAACAATCTAGATTGATACATTGCACCACGGGTAAGAGGAATAATATGTATTATGGATTTTGTGGTGAACTGTCCCTTTAAGATGCAATTCCTCTAATTATTATTCGCCCGGAAAGTCATCGATCGGACGTGTGTGTGAGTTCATCTGTCCTTGGCCACTACTTTGTGGTTGACTTGATCTTTTGTTTTGGATGGTGTGTTTGGCTAAATGCTAACAGCTAACGGAGCTACCAATACACAGACTGCTGTACATCGTCATCACTCAGCCGCTGCTCCACGGGCAGACAGCCTGATGAGTTTGATGATGTAGATTGTATAACATGTCTTATACAACGACTTCGAGTCAATTGACTGAATATGTTTTTGTGTTTGATTGAAATGTGTTTTACGATGTGTTTTTTTTTTGGTGTCTAGACGAGGGGTTAGACAATTGTGGGTTGCATTCATTCAATCACATAAGACAGCAGTGCTCTTTGCAGACAAACCGGGTCGAGATCTGCAGTGTACTGAGTGCACCGTTCTAGTTGCTGCTTAATTCTCCAAAAAAGGAGAAAGTCTTCCCTAATTTATTAACTCATTTTATGTATTTCTTAGTGACAATTTTGAGCAAGATGTAAGAGGAGTGTATTTTGGGTTAGGGTACACACTGCAGCACAGTCATGGTTTATCTTTAACAAGTGAGAATGAGGCCGGCTCCAGGATCCTTTTAGAAATCCGTAGGTGACATCACAGATGATACGTCATATTTTCTACAGTTATTATATAAAGTGCTTGGGTATGAGCATGTTTGTCGGATAATGAGTGCATATACGTGTCTGTTTGCACATTTTGGCCGGTAATGTGGGTGTAGTTCTTTGTGATTCTGCAACTAATCGAATCATCTGTGAGAAATCAGCACCCACCTCCGATGTCAGGTCTGAGCTTGTTGTCATATCCGTCTAGTAGGCTGTTTAGGATGTGTGTGACGTCACTCTCGAACACTTTGGGAGTCAGCACCCACGTCTTGTTGGTAGCCTCATCATCCTCATCAGTCTGGAAGGAGCTGCGAGGAAGAGAGAGAAAATGAATGCATTCAATCAATAATTTATTTTAAAGAAGAGCAAGCTGTGTTTTTTTACTCTGCTTTCTTTATAAATACATATTAGGAGCTTAGAGACGAGGTCGGAAGGGAGATTTTCAGGGCTTTTCTTCATCACGTTACAGCTAATAGAGACAAACTGAAATATGTGTGATTAAGCTTCCCTTTCCATTTAGTTTTATGGGATTTCTTGTGAAACAAAGTAGTTGCACCACTGAAAACTGTTAACAAGAGTTACAGAAAAAGAGTCAAATGAAGCGACCATTTTGTAGTATTAATATATGAATTATCTATGGTACACATTCAGTGCAACACTCTATAAGGTTATCGTTAATCAAATATCCATGTTGTCTTGGTCAACCGCCCGTTAAAAGTGGTTATCTCATTTATGTACCAGATATATTGGTTTTTTTCCAGTCTGAGATGTGTGTTCTTGCAGCAATGCCATCTTCTGAATACACTGTAATTTGCAAAACATCCCATAATGCCATGGTTCTCAGTCTTGTTCCTCACATAGAACACTTAAGAGATGCAGAAAATACCAAAGCACAAAGCAATCGTAGCCTGAAATGGCACAAGGCTCGTAAATATATTCTAATTTAAGAGGCTATATAATAGATATATAGTGAGTTTATTGCTGATGGTAATTATGCTTTCTCTGAGGGGACCTGCGGTTAGCTGATCTAAAAGGAGATAACTCATTATCTGAGTTTTACACTGTTTGGTTTATTTTCAATGGAACATACATTGGGGCAAATCAGTGTGCACCACCAGGCCAGCTGAGAGCCACTCTCATCTATGTGACACATCGCTTTCATCATTAAATTGGTCCTCCCAGAAGCCTCGTACTAACTTTTTCCCCATGGAGAGATCTTGCAAATGTTTAATTTAAGTAATGTGGTTAGGTAGTCAGCAACTCTTAACATGAAATGCCCACATGGACAAATTCATCACAAGGATGCATCAAGTTCTTCATCTGTCAAGTATGAAACAAGTTTAATAATGGCCCCTTTTTAAAAGTGAGATGGGGGTAAAAAGAGGGTAATCTCTTCAAGTAAAGGCTTAAAAGTAAACGTAAGTCTTAATAGCTTGACATGCATTCAAAGTGCTAGGTTTCACTACTGCAAAAAGTAAAAATCTACCCACTGCTTCTCAAAATGTCCTTTATTTCATTCACATGACAAAATAAATGCAAAGGAATTGCATTAACTTTTACTGTGACGTCCAGAGTTTGAACGACAACCTCCACAATTATCTTCAAAAACAGCAAGAGCCCTCCTTCAATTTCCAACTTGGTGAAAAAAATTCTAAGATGGTAAAGTTGGGTAACTTGAAGGCAGAATTGTTTATCAAAGTGTAACTAGGTTTTTAGGGCCCCACAAGCTTCAGTGAGAGCTGGAGAACACAAGCCAATTTTCCTAAGTTTACTTCCTCACCTCAGATGTCTTAAACTGAAAGGATAATGATGTCTCAAGAGACCCCTACCACAAATACCACCACGGCTGGGCTATAAATGTTTTTTCCTGTTCTCCCAGAGACAAGCGTGATCTTGGTAAGTTATATGTCTGAAATGGTTTGGTCTCCGTTACAAAAGATCTTTCTTTTAGCTCTGAGACCTGAGTAGATGATGGAGGTATGACAATACATTAGGGCTAATTAATGCTGGCAACAACATGCTGCTGTCAAGTAGGACTATAGTGTGTCAGGAGACTTGATGTTGTCTGCAGTAAGAGGGAATGTGTGTACTGCTGAAGGCCAGGGGTGAGATGTGTATACACGCTATGTTTCTGACAGAAAGAGAGGAGTAGTCAGAAAAGCATGAACATGATGTGTGAATGATATTGAAGAAATCTCTATATCAACTCCAAGAGGTTTGTAAAAGCACCAGTTGAGTCGTACTACTGTCAAAGGAATTGAAAAAGATTGAAATGACAAATTGAAATGTAAAAAAAACAAGTATTGTTAAAAAACGTATCGACATAACTTTTATCTTCATATCTTGAATAACAGGGAGGAGCAGTGCTTCTGATCTGAGCATATTCAAACTTGAGGTCTGCTACAAATCTCAGTTATTTCAAATCAATACTTATCTCCTACTATTTGTGTGATCTTCTCTGTATGCCTACGCATTAAAGAGAGGCCTACTGCACTAACTACATGGAAGTTGTGCCTCAAATGACGAAAAACTCTGATGATTAACACATGTGTACAGGCACACAATGCATCAGAAACAAGACAGAGAAAGGTGATAGATGGATAGATAGATACAGCAAGATAGAGTGAGATAGAGAGATTCTGAGAAAGGGTTTGGAGAATCAGCCAACAGCATAAAAGAGTAACAGTGAAACAGTTGCGAGCTTTCAGGAAAGCTTTGGAGCAATGAGAGGAAAAGGAGACTTCTGAATGAAATAATAAAGAATCATTGATGGTGACATGGAAAAAAAGACTGGTAAAGCACAAGGATAGAGGCTTTAATAGCTTTCTCGTGTTCTTAGGCTGGGTGCAAGGAATAATCTTCCTTAGACTGCATTAAGTGCCATTAAGTGCCATCCATCTACACCACAATACTAGTGCCTAAAACATTAAATCTTAATATTTTTTCTCAGGTGGATGCTTTTAGATATGTCTTACTGGATGTCATAAAATAAAAATCCAGAGAGTATCCGTCTCTGGCACTGACAGACTAGATGTATAGTTGTATAGATGGGTTGATAAACAGGGCAGAGAAGGGTGTAAGAACTTGAAACGTCTGTTTTTTGTTTTTTTTTAAAGGTTGCTGTATTCATCTCGCAGAGTAACTTTGTGAATATGGAAATGCTCCAAAGACAAATAGATCAAAGGAAGAGCCATGTGTTCTCCACTGCAGGCAGATCTGAGGTTTTGCCTACTAATGCGGTACCTGCAGATCCACAGAGAGGTCTGCGCCAGTGTGTATGTATGTGTGCGTGCTGTTATGCGTTTTTGTGCCGATATTAGTGTTTGTTTTTCATGCATATCCATGTTGCTGCCTATGTAATGATGGAGAGGACTGGCGTCAAGTGTTGCGTTCACACCAACTCTCATTGAGGACAGTCTGATACTGTCATAGTCTACCCCTTCACATTTAGAGCCGTTGTCAATAAACACCCTCATCGGCTCTATATTGAGCGGTCAAAAAATATCTCAAAAAATCACATCTCAGGTTCCATGTAAAGCAGCGGTGAAGTGCCCCATCTTCTGCCGTTTTACACATTCATAAGACGGTCTAAGTCTATAGCAATACCAGCTATAGAAACAGCTCTGTGGCCCTCATTGGCATATGCACGAAGTTCCCTTGAGCCATCGTCTTTGCATGTTTTAAACAGTACCGAAATGAAGGAACCAAATCTAGTGAACCCTCATGCTAATTATCAACCAACGTGAAATTGGTGCACGTCACATTGTTGCTTACAGCACAACCCTCCTCTCACAAGTGCTACCAGATTAGGCCAATTTGTATTGTTATCAATGTGGTGTATCAAGTTAAAGGGCCAATCAGTAATACCTTAGAGTATTTAAATGGGAAGTTTGAGAAAAAGACTCTCAGCAGCTGCAACATTAAATATTAATAAGTAATTAAGATCCTGTCTAACGTTGGTGGATTAAAACGCTTGTCAATCAGAGGAAGTGATAGTAGGGTCCAATTCTGGGTGGGGTGACATTTCTGTTTGTAATCTATTTAAATCACTTAACTGTTTGGAGGTTCACATGATTGACGATACAGTGAGTCAAATTCCAATACAACATTGACTGATTAGTAATGAACTCCTCCAATCATGTGAATTCAGGCCATATACATTACCATGGAGGGAAAGCAAACATTAGTGGACTAGTTTTAACAGTATCCTCTCTCTACTCTAGTATCCTCTTTCACCTGCTGCGTACCTGTGTCCTCAAAATAGAAACACACAGACCCTTTTGGAGTAACTGTAGTAGATCTATATTTATCCACGGGATCTCTTAGAATAAAAGGTAGAACTAGTGAAAGCCAAAGTGAAAATACTTTAGATAGGACACTCAGAAAGAACAAGGCACGTTATGCCCCAATATCCATGACCCTTCTTCAGGTTTCATGTGGTGCAAACACATTTAAGAAATAAATACATATAGTCATTAGGGATAGTCATTATGTTTGTCAACATTATACACCTCAACCCTTTCCAAGTGGTGACAAGAAGCAGTGTATGAGTGCTTGATTGAGCCTTATACACTGTAGTTTTCCCAATTAAAATCGATGGAACTGCATTTACTAATAACCAAGTATGACTGGGTTTGGTAACTGGAATGCTACAAATGGCCGACTCAGGATTGAATTCATTACATTTGCACCAAATGTGTCGTGAAATTTGTCACAATGTATCCACACTCAAAGCAGCTCAAAAGAACACTAACCTACAGTCATTTTCATCAGCTGAGATTGGCATGTGCCATCTGCATTTAATGTATTGTGTGTCCATAGCATATTCTTGCTAGTAAACTAAGTTTAGCAAGAAAAAAAGATGGAATATCTAATTGAAGTTACTGTAGATAACTGTGTGGGTGTTTATGTTGCTGGCAAGGTATCTGTTGTTGATGTTTCTCTTAAGCCACAACTACAATTGGCATTGTAGTGCTTTGACAACATTGACATTTTAGGTGATGAGGGCTCGAGATAAATTCTTAACACATCAACATTTTTACATCAGAGAAATATGCTGAAGTGATGTTATAAAACCCTGACAGATTTAGAGGAACTATGCCACATTGAGGATTATTCTTCACTTGAAATGGAAAAAAAAAAATGTTGTTAACCATCAGTACTACTCTGTTCGACCTACTAAGCTTTGTATTTTTCATATACAGTATGTCAGATTATAAGAACTGAAGTATTATTTGTCAGGTATTAGAGGAAGCTGTATAGATTATATGTTGTGTATCACATGGGATTTATTGACAGTTAATGGGACTTCAATGACACCAATAAAAACTAGCATGTCTTATTGGAATTTTAAACAACAATCCTGACATCTGATTTACTGTAATGTCACATGTACATATATATTTATTTTCCGTGTCCATCAAAACAATAGAGGCTCTTGTTGATCCATGGGAAATATACATTAGTATTAAAATAAGCTCTGGTACAGTCATGGTTGGAAAACAGTTAAAAACAGAAAATACAAAATGAATACAAAAATAAATTGCAGTGGGTTCCAAATTATGATTATATAATGCATTTCATCTGCAACCTAAAATGCTGGAGGTGAGTTTACCAAACAGGAAACATGACTTGGCATAATAGAAAACCTGAGCAGAGCACTTCCTCACTCTGACATCACTTCCTCCTGCGATGGCCATACTGTGAGGGTTTACTAAATCTCCTAGCAGACCATGGGCCTACATCTGGAGCCTAATTATTGACTGAAGGAACAATATGCCAAAACATTTGTTGATACATATCTTCTACTTTTACATGAGGGAGGACTGCGCATTGGGGTTCATGTATGGTGATGCAATTAGACATCACTACACATAGTAACTGTCAATGAGTCACAAAGTAGCATAGATTACTGAAAGCATGCCTGAGGCCTTGAGAGATTCCTTATGTAAGAGGTCTCATACATGAATCACAAATAGTGTCTGATTCAACTTACCGAGCAATTAGCTGTCTTTTAATAACTATACAGTACACATGACTTGTAAATGAACTATTTGAAAGAGAATACATCTTGCTGTGATAAGGGGTAACTAGCTTTGAGCCACATATATTACATTTGTACAGGTGTTCACCTATAGATCTCTCATTTGGCCTTGGTATGATTATCAAAGAAGCACCAAACTGTCACATCCCAGTTCATTATGTATCAATCACACGTGCACAACTTATACAATCCATAACCTGCACATATATATCAATTGTTGGTGTAATTCAATTGGGCAAGGTGTCGCGGTAACTCAAGCCCATCGTGAACACTACTTGTGCATAGAATTAAAAAAACTGCACAGGCCTGACAATGAAGCCTGGGCACTGGGGCAGGGAGCATTGAGGTTGCGATCAGCATGACGGTGATTGAACGTCGTCTGATTTATCTGCCTCCATTTTTCGCCCTCCAGCAGCACAAAACGACGAAAGCGAAGCGAGGAGTCTTGTCATCCTTCCTCTTGACTTCTCTCATCTTAGCACACGAGGAATAATGTCTTGACGGGGAAGACCAAACAGCTTCTCTCAAATCTGCACCTCAGTTCAAGCTGAAATGGCAGTCCTTTGCCTGTATATGTGTGTGTGTGTGTGAGTGTGTGTTCAAGACAAGGATGACTCCATATGTGTTATCCTTGTCCTTATTGTGCCTTTACACTTGTATTCTCTGTGTGAATGTCTGCCATTTTGAAATGCTTTTTTTTAATTTCAGATACGTGAGATGAAACATACCCTCATTCACACTCAAGTTGTCTTTATTACAAATGACTGTTTGCATAAAGCTATTCGAGTTACTGCCACATCCAACACCTGCGTTTAATAACCAGGCTCAGGCTCTTAGAATAGACTTGATCCTTGAAGACAGCTTAGCAGGGACTATATGTAGCCTTAGCTTCAAGCAAATTAGCCTGCCACTATGCTATTTCTAACGCTGGACATATTGTGAGAGATGCTGGCCTGTTCATAGACATGTTTAACTGCACGGTATTAAATCATCAGATCCCCACAGCCGAATATTTAAGTCAGACTGTAGCTGTTCATCGCCTTTGTTTTCTGTAAAGAAAAAAAAAAAAAAAAAAAAGAATCTCCCAGTAATGCGGTGCATGTGTCACTGTAGGTATCTAAAAAAAATGTCTATCACACTCCCATATCGAAACACGATTAAAGATGTGATATACGCGCAACATGCCTTGGTTTTTCTAATAAAACCAGATTCCTCTCAGCTACCTAATCGGCCAGGATCCCACTAAAAGCAGGCTTGTGTTGGCATGAGATGGGAGGCGCCGCAGAATTACGTGTTGTTAAAATAAGGCACACGCAAACCAAAAAAAGCCGACAAAGAATCACGGTTTAGAGAGGACATATGACGGCATCGATGGCTTACCTTGCAGGCAGATTAACGACAATAAACACCCAGAGAAACAGCTTCAGGGGAAGGGAAGGCTTCGCCATTGCTGTCGAGCATTTGGAGGCAAAATTCGGTGAAGCCATCATCACCATCTTCGTTTCCTCTTTATTGCAGATGGACGTCTCCGTCTATTTACTGTGTTTCCTCTCTACGATACATTACGCACGTTAGCGGTAGCGGGTCTGCAAACCTAGACCCGATGCGGACGTGCGGTGAAGGGAAATCAGCCCAAACAAAATCGATGCGAGCAGAAAGCTTGATTTCGCGTCGCTTGTTTTTTTTTTTTTTTTTTTTTTTTTTTTTTTTTTTTTTTTTTTTTTTCTTTTTTTTTTCTTTTGCGTCTGTTGGCGACTCGTAAGTCTAACAGGGCCCTAAAAAACTGCCACAGACTGCGAACCCCCGTAATATGCTACTCTAATGTCGAGCAGCTGAAAAAAAAACAACAGAAGAGACTCAGCCTGAATGCAGATTAACACTGGGGTCAGAGAGGAACTGATGCACGTTGCTGCAGCACGGATCAACACATGCGTGCTTTCACCAAGCGGAAGGAGGGCTGCACTGACTACGGTAAAAACGAATTAGCTTGGTGCTACAGAAAAAGAATGGTGGTTTCATTTTTTACTGCTACATATAGCAGTAATACATATATATAATCTTTTTAACAACATTCACTTATTAAGAATAAACTCCTCCAATCATGTGAATTCAGGCCATATGCATTACCATGGAGGGAAAGCAAACATTAGTGGACTAGTTTTAACAGTATCCTCTCTCTACTCTAGTATCCTCTTTCACCTGCTGCGTACCTGTGTCCTCAAAATAGAAACACACAGACCCTTTTGGAGTAACTGTAGTAGATCTATATTTATCCACGGGATCTCTTAGAATAAAAGGTAGAACTAGTGAAAGCCGGACACTCAAAAAGAACAAGGCACGTTATGCCCCAATATCCATGACCCTTCTTTAGGTTTCAGGTGATGTTCATATTTCATATTTTTAACACATATGTCAAAATGGTGAAAGTAATCTTGTTGCCAAATAATGTGACACAATTTCTTAAGTGACATCCTGGGGTCCTTAGGTTTGTTGCAGACTAATGAGGAGCAAGTACATCCAAAATGACTTTTTGGAGTACACTTTTTCAAAGAAACTCCCCTATAAGTAATTACACAAATCATTTCAGGTGGATAAGTGTGTGTGTGTGTGTGTGTGTGTGTGTGTGTGTGTGTGTGTGTGAGTGTCCCTTTATGCCATACACATCTATTTAGAATCCTAAATGAGCCGCAGGCCTGAGTCGAGTCCAGTCACGCTTTCAGCACCTTGGACAGCTCTATTAGTTTTCATCTGTATAACAAACCACCATTCAGCACCAAGGACAGCTTCCGTCAGTTTGTTGCTGCTCAACTCAGAGGATACAGCCTCTCACGGCCCAGTTGATTTGACAATAAATACACACCGTCATCCCTAAAAAGGAGCTGATTAGTTTACTTTGATATTTAGTTTTCACTTTAATTGATTGCATGACTGAATGAGGTTAAGCAGCACAGAGGACATATCTCTATTTTGGCATTATACACATTTATTTAATGATATGTGCTTTTCCAAGTCTTTTGACATATTTAAAAAACAATCCAGAAAGAGCATCCTGAGGTTGTCATCGTCCTTCATAGGGTGCTCTCACCCATTTTGTTATCCTTATATAAGTATGATGCTCCTGCTTTGGTGGGGTGTAAATTCTTTCCAAGGACTCCTTGAGGGGATGTTTTCGAAAAAAAATATGTCTTTATAATCTAAAGTACAAAATGGTAGCCAATCCCACACTGTCTCATAAATAACTGTTTGCAATCCTCCCCCCTCTCGATCTATTTACACACTTGAATGGCAAGTTTCTAGCGTCTTTAAATGCTACTTTAAAAGAGAGAAGGAAAATCAGGATAAATAAATAACACAAAATATGCAAAGATTACATTTGGTGCTTATTAGGACTGTGTGCGTGATGCAAATGACAAGAGCAAAGTAGATCACATGTCCTCAGCAGCATTGTTCGGTCTTCTGTTTTGATTGACCCAAGGACATATCTGTCAAGTTTCCATTTTCAAGTTTGCTTTCTTCTGAACTGCGTTTCTCCTTTATTGTTATCTTCACTCAAAGATAAGAAGAACAATTTGGCTTCATACATCATACAGATATATATACTGTATATGTATATATATATATATATATATATATATATATATAGAGAGAGAGAGAGAGAGAGAGAGAGTTCCTTTCCAGCAAACAAACAAAAAATATGACTGTAAAGGGAGAAAAATGAGCACTGCAGTCACAGTAGAAACAAGCAAGTGCTAGCATCGTCTTGTCATGGTGCATTAGCCCAAATTCCCCTCTAAACATTTATTACATGGGCATACAGGCGTTGAACATGCTGCATTATCACTTTTATGGCCCCATGAGGCGACAGCTATATGGTAAACTTTTGCTCAGTTTTCCCATATGTTTGAGGCCTGATAAACTCATTCACTCAGAATGACAACCGGCCATTAACTGGTTTCTGGTTTTAACCATTAGTTATTAAAATTCGACTGTGGCAATCAAAGTTGATTGTAGCCGCCTCAGTGTGACATGCATAGAAGATGAGCTGTGTCTGATTTGAAATAACCATCATGTGTTTATTTGTGGCAAGTGAGGCTCAGCGTAGGTTAATCATCTTAAGAAAATTGACAGATGCTTCATCAGGCATGCAGCACTCCTTAAAAGAGAGTAAACCAGCAGCCGCTCCCAAAAACAGTATAAATGAAGAAAGGAAGTCTTGTAATATTCAATATATTCTTATAACCCGTTTGCAATGTGTATTACCTGGCCATAGTGTCCCTCAAAAGATCTCTTACTGAAGATATAGGTTTCACAAGCCAAACAGCGAAAACAAGACAGTAATATGGGTCATGTTTTTAAATTTTTTATGTTTAATAAATATGACTATAATACTTAAAACACAAATGTATTTAACCATGTTTGTTTGGCTGTTTTATGATTTGTTTTGCAGTTAAAACACTTCTAGTATGAGCTGAGGAGAGTAACCTCTATTGCCCTCGCATGCTAATTTTTTTTTCAATTTGACATCCCTGTATAGATATTCTACATATTTACAACTTTGGAAATGAAAATAGAACTTTAGGCCTTTCTCATCATACTCTGTAAATGAAACTGGTATAAACAGACACACACGCACACACACATGCATGTCCCATATCATTCAGTCCCCAGGCCAGCTATCACTCTCTGCCCTGCAGCCATATCACCACAGCTGTCAGAGACTCTAGCCATGCAGGTCATGAACCAAATGTCAACATCAGAGATACTGGTAGTAGGAGGTATCGATCTAGCTAAGATGGAAGAGGTAATATAGAAGAATATTATACCCAGTGGCTACTAAGTTGTTACGGTTAATTAACCCATGTGGATGTATTTTGTTTTCGTGGTAGACCTTCACAGTTGAGTTATAATTCGATTGAAAGGATTTGTGCAGAGGTAAAGGCTTTTCTATTGCTATTACAGCATGTTACTAGATGATTAATTTTAATCTATATGGCTCATACCCAACATTTATTCTGATGATACAAGACAGGCAGTTAATATCCCCAGCAGAATCTACCTCTGTTCCTCTTTTTCAGACTCTCTCTCTCTCTCTCTCTCTCTCTCTCTCTCTCTCTCTCTCTCTC